ACAGTAATTAGAATGTACGTCACAATAATTAGTACGTATGTCACAGTTATAAGTATGTACGTCACAGTAATTAGTACGTATGTCACAGTTTTAAGAATATTCGTCACAGTAATTAGAATGTACGTCACAGTAATTAGTACGTATGTCACAGTTATAAGTATGTACGTCACAGTAATTAGTACGTATGTCACAGTTATAAGAATGTACGTCACAGTAATTAGAATGTATGTCACAGTAGTTAGTACGTATGTCACGGTAATTGGTAAGTATCAATAGTGCATCATTAACATCTTACATGTAATGTTACGGCATGTACATGTAACATGAACAAAATAGCTGTTACCAACACAATGCAACGGTGATATTTGTATGTATAAAATAAACCAAGGAAACAACCATAAAATGTTCAAAGGCAGCGAAACCTTTGATGCAATGTATGTCCTTCCATTTTGTGAAATAACAGAAACATGTGGAAATTCGTTTACCATGTTGTAAACACAGACAACGCCGCTACCTAGCCGAGATGGTTCCTTATCTGCTCTCTTCACCTTTTAGTTTGCGGTCATCAATGGGTCACATTGTTTATAGTGAGAAAACATGTGACTTCCTGTTTAGACGTGGACTCCAAACGTGCTAAATTGTATTATGTCAGGAAGAAAAGGAAAGAAACGCATTTAAAATAACTTGTTTTTCACCATAGCCTTTTTGCCACAGTCCCTTACTTTCGTGATTAATTAAATGTGAAAATTATTAATGACTACCCTGGTCTGTCTCTCCGAATAATGTTCGATTTTTTTATGACCAATATAATATGTTTTCTGATATCAGAGTGAAATCTAACCATGCTTGTCTGAAAGGGTTATCTTTTTCTCAATGTGTACTTCCTTGTATCTGAGGATTTGTATCTACGTCTTTCTACCCCATGGAATGATGTTATCAATTGCTTTACCTTTTTTTCTCATACTTGGATTGTTTATGTGTTTGTTAATGTTATCGTTACTTGAGCATGACAAAATTCAGAACCGCTCATGACTAAAATGAACACACATGTTAAACATTGATTTGTACTAGTGAGAAAACACACGTTCAATAACGTATATACGTATTTGTGTTTGTAAAGCCATATGACACAAGAAACTTCTACCAATTATTTCATCTTTCGTTTATTGCATTAAAAAAAAGCTACTTTGATAGTAATTATTATTAATAATACTACATTAATTCTCAATAATTATGTATTTAGAAATACATTATTTTACAGGGCACAATCTGGCAAACCTAATACTACCAAGTGTACAGAGAGCGGAGTATGTGAATATGAAGAGGCATGCATGATCTAAATGTTTAACACACTGCTAACTTATTTAAAAATCGGTGTTTTATTTTGTGTCTCTGTTTCTAGGTACGTGGTGATATGCAACCACAAGATAGCAGGAAAACTTCACACAAAGAAATCTGCCTATATTTACCTGTGCGCTGTGTGGATTATCTCCCTTTGTGCACTCAGTCCACACTTGGTGTTCCAATGCCTTGACACCAGGGTAAAAGTCCGCCGAGTGGGATCCTTCCTGATCCTAGACGGTTTCGGCTTCCTATGTGCAGAATTCTATCCCAATGACTACGGAAGTAAGCTATACACAGCTTTCACGTACGGCTTCCTCTACATACTCCCAGTCATTATAATGGCCTATACCTACGGTAAAATAGCACACCGCCTCTGGATCCACCCACCCATCGGTGACATTCTGGAGAATCCACTGCATCACCAGAGAGTCGTTTTACCTAAAAAGAAAATAATCAAGGTCATGATTGTTGTTTTTCTTGCATTTACAATTCTGTGGTTGCCTTTTTTTACCTTTTCACTTTATGCGGAATTTGCAGAAACCAAAGATACAACATTTAGGATCAAGATGGCCGTCTTAAAATTAATCGGTTACAGCAACTGTTGTGTAAACCCTATAATATACACGTTCCTGAACAAGAATTTCCAGCAAGAGGTACTGCAACTGTTTTGTAAGAACAGAGTAATGAAGATCAACGTTCAAACTACGTTAGGATCGACCAACACCCGCACGGAAACAATCCGAAAGAGCAAGTTTTAGAAAATATACATCTGACGACCGACTTACACCGTGTACAAAGGAATATATGTGCTGGAAAAGTTGTATTAATTATTTTATGGCTATATTTATACAGACTGCCTAAATATGTGTAAGTGTTGCTGTGTATACAACACGACGTTGTAACACCATCAGCGTTTCACATTTAAACAATGCTGCATTACTTACCATCAATGAAACGCGTGTATAGAATATACCATTACTTATCTTCTTTTTTGACAATTGTAAACAATACTTTCACCAGCAACGACAGATGTATATACAATGTTACATTACTTACACCTACACTAAGAGATGTATATGCAAGGTTACAATATACAATGTTGCAATACGTACACCAACACTAAAAGATGTATATACAATGTTACAATACGTACACCACCACTAAGAGATGTATATACAATGTTACAATACGTACACCATCACTAAGTGATGTATATACAATGTAACAATATGTACACCACCACTAAGAGATGTATATACAATATTACAATAAGTACACCACCACTAAGAGATGTATATACAATGTTACAATACGTACACCACCACTAAGAGACGTAAATGCAATGTTAAATTACTTAACCACCACTAAGAGATGTATATACAATGTTAAAATACGTACACCACCACTAAGAGATTGATATACAATGTGACAATACGTACACCAACACTTAGATATGTATATACAAGGTTACATTACTTACCCCACAACTAAGATATGTATATACAATGTTACAATACGTACACCAACACTAAGAGATGTATATACAGTGTTACAATACGTACACCAACACTAAGAGATGTATATACAGTGTTACAATACGTACACCACCACTAAGAGACGTAAATGCAATATTAAATTACTTAACCACCACTAAGAGATGTATATACAATGTTACAATACGTACACCAACACTAAGAGATGTATATACAGTGTTACAATACGTACACCACCACTAAGAGATTGATATACAATGTGACAATACGTACACCACCACTTAGATATGTATATACAAGGTTACATTACTTACACCACAACTAAGATATGTATATACAATGTTACAATACGTACACTACCCCTAATAGATGTATATACAATGTTACATTACGTACACCTCCACTAAGAGATGTATATACAATGTTAAAATACGTACACCACCACTAAGATATATATATACAATGTTACATTACTTACGCCAACACTAAGAGATGTATATACAATGTTACAATACTTACACCACAACTAAGAGATGTATATACAAGGTTTCATTACTTACACCACCACTCAGAGATATATATACAGTGTTACATTACTTACACCACCATTAAGAGATGTATATACAAGGTTACATTACTTACACCACCACTAAGAGATGTTACTAAGAGATGTATATACAATGTTACATTACTTACACCATATATACAAGGTCACAATACGTACACCCCCACTAAGAGATGTATATACAATGTTATAATACGTACACCACCACTAAGAGATGTATATACAATGTGACAATACGTACACCAACACTAAGAGATGTATATACAATGTTACATTACTTACACCACCACTAAGAGATGTATATACAATGTTACAATACGTACACCACCACTAAGAGACGTATATACAAGGTTTCATTACTTACACCACCATTAAGAGATGTATATACAAGGTTACATTACTTACACCACCACTAAGAGATGTTTATACAAGGTTACATTACTTACACCAACACTAAGAGATGTATATACAATGTTAAAATACTACACCCCCACTAAGAGATGTATATACAATGTTACAATACGTACACCACCACTAAGAGCTGTATATACAATGTTACATTACTTACATCAACACTAAGAGATGTATATACAATATTACAATACATACACCACCACTAAGCGATGTATATACAATGTTACAATACGAACACAACCACTAAGAGATGTATATACAAGGTTACATTACTTACACCACAACTAAGAGATGTATATACAATGTTACAATACCTGCACCACCACTAAGAGATGTATATACAGTGTGACAATACGAACACCACCACTTAGAGATGTATATACAAGGTTACATTACTTACACCACAACTAAGAGATGTATATACAATGTTACAATACGTACACTACCCCTAATAGATGTATATACAATGTAACAATACGTACACGACCGCTAAGAGATGTATATACAATGTTACAATACGTACACTACCACTAAAATATGTATATACAATGTTACAATATGTACAACACCACTAAGAGATGTATATACAATGTTAAAATACGTACACCACCACCAATAGATGTATATACAATGTTACAATACGTACACCACCACTAAGTGATGTATATAAAATGTTACAATACGTACACCACCACTAAGATATATATATACAATGTTACATTACTTACACCAACACTAAGAGATGTATATACAATGTTACAATACTTACACCACAACTAAGAGATGTATATACAAGGTTTTATTACTTACACCACCACTAAGAGATATATCTACAAGGTTACATTACTTACACCACCATTAAGAGATGTATATACAAGGTTACATTACTTACACCACCACTAAGAGATGTTTATACAAGGTTACATTACTTACACCAACACTAAGAGATGTATATACAAGGTTACAATACGTACACCCCCACTAAGAGATGTATATACAATGTTATAATACGTACATCACCACTAAGAGATGTATATACAATGTGACAATACGTACACCAACACTAAGAGGTGTATATACAATGTTAAAATACGTACACCCGCACTAAGAGATGTATAGACAATGTTACAATACGTACTACACCACTAAGAGCTGTATATACAATGTTACATTACTTACACCACCACCAATATATGTATATACAATGTTACAATACGTACACCACCACTAAGAGATGTTTATACAATGTTACATTACTTACACCACCACGTGCACTAAGAGATGTATATAAAATGTTACATTACTTACACCACCACAGCTAAGAGATGTATATACAATGTTACAATGCGTACACCAACACTAAGAGATGCATATACAATGTAACAATACGTGCACCAACACAAAGAGATGTATATACAATGCTACAATACGTACACCAACACTAAGAGATGTATATACAAGGTTACAATACGTACACCACCACTAAGATATGTATATACAATGTTACATTACTTACACCACCACTAAGAGATGTATATACAAGGTTACAATACGTACACCCCCACTAACAGATGTATATACAATGTTATAATACGTACACCACCACTAAGAGATGTATATACAATGTTAAATTACTTACACCACCACTAAGAGATGTATATACAAGGTTACAATATGTACACCACCACTAAGAGATGTATATACAATATTACATTACTTACACCACCACTAAGAGATGTATATACAATGTTACAATACTTACACCACAACTAAGAGATGTATATACAATGTTACAATACCTGCACCACCACTAAGAGATGTATATACAGTGTTACAATACGTACACCACCACTAAGAGATGTAGAGATGTATATACAAGGTTACATTACTTACACCACAACTAAGAGATGTATATACAATGTTACAATACCTGCACCACCACTAAGAGATGTATATACAGTGTTACAATACATACACCACCACTAAGAGATGTATATACAAGGTTACAATATGTACACCACCACTAAGAGATGTATATACAGTGTTACAATACGTACACCACCACTAAGAGATGTATATACAAGGTTACATTACTTACACCACCACTAAGAGATATATATACAATGTTACAATACGTACACCACCACTAAGAGACGTATATACAATGTTACATTACTTACACCACCACTAGGAGATGTATATACAAGGTTACAATACGTACAACCCCACTAAGAGATGTATATACAATGTTATAATACGTACATCACCACTAAGAGATGTATAGTATATACAAGGTTACATTACTTACACCACCCCGTGCACTAAGAGATGTATATACCATGTTATAATACGTACATCACCACTAAGTGATGTATATAAAATGTTACAATACGTACACCCCCACTAAGAGATGTATATACAATGTTACATTACTTACACCACCACTAAGAAATGTATATACAATATTACAATACATACACCACCACTAAGAGATGTATATACAATGTTACATTACTTACAACAACACGAGGAGATGTATATACAATGTTACAATACGTACAAGAGATGTATATACAATGTGACAATACGTACACCAACACTAAGAGATGTATATACAATGTTACAATACGTACAGCACCACTAAGAGATGTATATACAAGGTTACAATATGTACACCACCACTAAGAGATGTACATACAATGTTACAATGCGTACACCACCACTAAGAGATGTATATACAATGTTACGTTACTTACACCACCACCAATATATGTATATACCATGTTACAATACGTACACCACCACTAAGAGATGTATATACAATGTTACGTTACTTACACCACCACCAATATATGTATATACCATGTTACAATACGTACACCACCACTAAGAGATGTATATACAAGGTACAATATGTACACCACCACTAAGAGATGTACATACAATGTTACAATGCGTACACCACCACTAAGAGATGTATATACAATGTTTCATTACTTACACCACCACCAATATATGTATATACAATGTTACAATACGTACCCCACCACTAAGAGATGTATATACAATGTTACGTTACTTACACCACCACCAATATATGTATATACCATGTTACAATACGTACACCACCACTAAGAGATGTATATACAATGTTACAATGCGTACAACAACACTAGGAGATGTATATACAATGTTACAATACGTACAACAACACTAAGACATGTATATACAATGCTACAATACGTACACCACGACTAAGAGATGTTTATACAATGTTGCAATGTTT